AATTTATACAATTTGCACTGCGGCTGAAGCCTGAAATGCACCATGTAAGACTTCGCACTTCAAAGGAGTCACCGAAGCCGCATGCTGGTGACTGTTACGAAATAGTACCAGAATGTCTAGAAAATGCTACAATTTAAATTCTGTTTGCCACCTAATGAGCGCGAAAGGCAATTTTAAAAATTTCGGCGAGACCGAATTAAATTACAGCACCCTTCTGTAACTAAGATGGTGTCAAACACAACAATGTTCACTAGTCTCAAATCAGACCAATTCTAAATAGCCTTGCAACCTAACGGTGACAGCAAACCAACTTCTGTTAGAAGGTCCCCGGAAATCTCTAACTTAACTCATGCTGATTATGCCGAAGATGCAAAACTGCTCTTCACAGTACTTGCACAGTCGTTTCAAAATTCCCTAACTCAGTTCAACACTAGCGTGCACTTCTGACTAGCTATATTAAAAAAGAACTAAAATTGGTTTTTCACTGTGACCACTGGCACTGCATAACTTTAATCCGACGATACGGGAATAAGAGAATTTGGATTCCTAAACATTCAAAAACCAGTGAAACCCCTTGACACATTACTAATGCTAGCTGCAGGAAGGAACAACATTATTTAACAGTTTGACTCGCTAATCCTCTTCACCGCATTTTACCTTCATAAAATTCACTCCATGACTTGCGAATTCATTATTATCAAGCAATTCCCCTCAACTTTCATTATCTTGTCAATCCATTACAAAGTGCAAGTTCTGCCAGAACCTTATCTTCCAGGCCCGTCCCAATTAGTGCATTAGTGGTTACTGTTAGTGCATAACAGTTTTAGATTTTCAGGTTTAGAATTTCCGCACGATCTGTGAACGAGTGTCATTTTGTTTACTGCAATTTCAACGCAATTCTCCTCTTCGCCTCTCCCTTTGAACTTAAAACCAGCTTTCAAATGTCAGGTTTTCAGGTCCATAATATTGTCTTTGTTATTAAAACCGTTCATCTCCTCTTGTGATGCCATAGAAACTTTCACTGCCCTTGCTAAAAAACATCCTAAGAAATGAACAGAAATAACGATTTACGACTAAATCGCTTCGTCACTCAGATCAGATGCTACTAGATGGAGTTAAACTACACTGCTGCAGTCGAAATGTGACCGGAGCTCTACCGTTACTAGTAACTTAAATACAATCAAAAAACTGAACCAAAAGCTAAACTATGCAGTTATATCAACGTCCCACGTGCTAAATAAAGGTAATATTAGACGTTTACATTCCCTGAAATAAATATTTAAGTGATTGAAAGATGATAAGCAATAATGCGCAAGACCGCTAGTTTTATATGAATTGTTGCAGAACAGTTCGGCTGGAAAGAAAAAAGATTATCGACGGGGATGAAAACCTATTGGTTTTTGATGTTTGGATTTGTTCCAGGATTACGTTTTACATGTGCCAAAGGCATGAAGTCTGTGGAACGAAACTGAACATTGTCAGCTTCATAAAGTTTATGGCAGGTACGCCGCAAACATTTATTGTTTTCTGTACGTCTGACACAGTTAAAATTTTGCGGGATTTCAAAATCCGTAGGTCTGAAGGAAGCGTAGTGCTTATTTAACACGAAGATTTCATTATGCTATCAAACTGTAATAAGTCTGTCTATCCAAACGTTTGCCATAACCAGTTGAATTTTCTTTTGGCGGGGTTTTTTCCCAACTACAGCAAGGAAAACAAATATTTTCTTATTTTCTTACATTCAGTTGATGCTGTTGGACCAGTGGCCATTAATGTTTTCAGTTGTTAATTATCCATATAGATTTCAGTTACTAATTTTTTGTAAGAAGAAGGTGCCTTTTGCGTCCGACTGACGTTTCTTGTTATAATTTTAGGGCTGCTATGTGGTTTTTGTTAGTGGGAGTCCTTTTCTATGTTGTCAGTTGTAACTTGGTGGACGTAGATCTTAATGTTGATCGAAAAGATTGGAAGAATCCTTTGGATCCATTTTCGGCAAGTTCCGCCGGAAAGTCGGACTTGGTTTTGTGCAAGGAAAAGCTAGCTTCCTGCCAAAAGACTTGTGAAGTATTGGTTTTAGCGTATATTTGTTTATTTGACCTGTGGGTTTCAGTGTGGAAATTTG